TTCGAATTCCAGTTTCCTAAATTTTATTTTAAATATCAATATTAAAAATGTAATTAGTCCGTCGGTTGGACAATGAAAAAAATTTAGACACGTATTTTTTGTTTTCTCGCAAAATTAAATACTTTCGATGATATATTAATTTGAAATATCGTGTGACGTCACAGCGTGCCACATTTTGTAGCACGTTACACAATTCCAGACTTCGTGCTATTACTGAGACTTTTTTAAAAACCCAGTAGTACTTTGCTCTACCCGGGAATCGAACCCGAGACCCTTTGGCCAGCAGTCGCACTTGACTAATAGTGTTATGAATATGTAAAAGTTTGTGGGTATATATGTATGTATGTACATATGTTTATTACTCTTTGACGCAAAAGCTAACGAATGCATCTCAATGAAGGCACAGAAATAGATTATTCTTGACTGGAATAACATATACGTATAGACTACTTTTGTCTGCGCTACTATCAAATATTCTTATAATACAGGCTAGTGACAGGCAAACTGACAGCAGTACCTTAGTATTAGAAAGTCCTTTGCGAGCGAACGAGAAAAGGGATACTGGATTTTTTTTTTTGTGAATAGCAAGTAGTAGGTATGTTATGAGAAAATAATAGTCTTTTTTGTTTTATTCATAACATAACTGGAATTGTGTCCGGTATATGGCAATACCGGGCACAATTCCCTCCTATTACATGGGACTTATAACATAAATAGTGAAAAGTGGGTGTTATATTGTACAGTGGCATTAAGTGCCGTAATGTGCATCGCTGCCTATCTCTTAGGGGATACAAAGGCGTGATGTTATGTTATGTCATAACTAGCTTTCCGCCTACGTCTATTTCCGAGAACCTACATCACTCTTTAGCTTCCTAACTATTCTCTGACACAAGAACCATACCATGAAATTGCTTCATTTTCACACTTTCGGTTCTACAAAACTGAAGAGTTTATATGTTTGAGTTGACTAATCTCTTGAACTACTGATCTGATTTGTAGTCCGATAGTGAATTTATCGAAGGATAAGTATATAACATCACGGTATGGCCACTAAGTACTGAGCAGTAGCAGGTGAGACCGCGCAAGAGTAGTTAGTCACACTAGTAATATAAATGTGAAAGTATCTTTGTTTGGATGTTTAGATGTTTGGATGTTTGGATGTTTGGATGTTTGGATATTTAGATGTTTTTCTGTCAATCACGCTGAAACTACTGAACGGATTTTGATGAAATTTGGTATATAGGCAGGGTATGGGCTGACTTAAGTGATACCATGCTATTTAATCCCGATTAAATGCTCCCATGGGATAAAACAGGAATACACGCGCAAATTCACGGGTAAAAACTAGTTTGTAATATTATTTAAAGAGTCTCGGATCATACTTTCGATATGTCAGAGGTTATCATTAGCAAGTAAACTGCTGATACCAATATATAAACATTAATAATATATTATATCTTCGCAATATTAAATATATTGACAAAAAACAAGTTATATACACATCTATAGCAGTTTTTACCAGTTTCTTTTAGTTATCCCGACTTTTGATCTTTGATTTAATTAAAATAAAAATAAAATTGTAGTATGTAGTTGCTTACTTATTATCACTCAAGTTTTTTTCCTTTAGTAAACATTTAATTCTAGTTGACTTATCTTCTTTTTTGTTAATAACAATAAATTTAGGTATAAATTAGTCTTTATGTTGCTAGCTAGTTTTTTGTTTGGTAGTAAAACTGCGACCGACCGCATTGTTTTTTATGCAGACATAAACAGTTATAAGAAAATCTGAAAAAAGTAACATGTACAGTACTAATTTAGAATATTATTATGTATTTTATGGCTCGAAGTAAGTAAGCAGAGGTGAACAATCTCGAATGTAACACCTATTACCTTATACTAGACACGTTTTTTTATAGCATAAGCTGGTAAACGAACAGACGGATCACCTGATGGTAAGCAATCGACGTCGCCCATGGACACCCGAAACACCAAGGCGTTACAAGTGCGTTACCGGTCTTTTGGAAATTGGAAATTTGAGGATTGTGGAGGATTTGGACATTCGGGAGACTAGGGAGGAGGGTAATTGGGCCTCCGGTAACCTAACTCACACGACGAAACACGACGCAAGCGTTGTTTCACGTCGGTTTTCTGTAAGGCCGTGGTATCACTCCGGTCGAGCCGGCCCATTTGTGCCAAAGCATGGCTCTCCAACACTTAAAATAATCCATTGCAGACTCAGTTCCACTATCTATCTACTGAGAATTAGAAAAAAAACGATAAATAATTTCGAATAACACAATTTGCTCGTCAGTCGATCAATGATGCATTTACGGCAAAGATCAACCGTTATCATGTTTTATTAAAAACAAAAAAAAAACGACAAGACCTAAAAATAGAATATTCTACTTATTGCTTGTTTATTCGAAGCAATTCAATTATAGTTTAGAAACTTGCGAAATGTCTGGGCCATCTGAAATGATTACTAGTTAACGTAAAGTATATGTGGTACATAATTTCTAGAGAAACTTCCACGCAGAGATCCATTGGTCAAAAAAATCACAAAGATCTTTATGTATGTACCTACATTATGTTGACATAAGCAATGTTTCTACAATTATTCTTCGTACTACTGTATAAATAAGTGAGAGGAAATGTATGAAGAAAATAAGCGAGGGTGGAATAGAATTGGTATAGTTTCTCTTGGTGTCAAATATTCCAGGCAAAGTATTAGTTATCGGGATGTTAGCCCGCCCTACCGTCACTGTCACACGACGACCTTGTTGTGTGGTACAAGTAAAAAGCGATTATGGATACACGTTTACCAATTTTGTGGCTGAATATTATAACTATTGATAAATATATTATTTTTATTTTTATATAGAATAAGCCGGTAAACGAGCATACGGATCACCTGATGATAAGCAATCGCCGTCGCATATAGACACCTGGAATACTAGAGGCGTTACAAGTGTGTTACCGGCCTTTTGGGATTAGGAATTTGAGGATTGTTGAGAATTCAAGGATTGGGGAGATTGGGAAAGGGGGGGGGGGTAATTGGGCCTCCGCTCCGGTAACTTTATTCACATGACCGAAAAAACACAACGTAATTTCACGTCGGTTTTTCAGTGACGTGGTATCACTCCGGTCGTGCTAAGTGTCGATTCGTTTATTCATTTATTCATTTATTTGTTTGATGCGATTCGTCCAATAACCGATGCAGGCTGGTTGTGTGCCTCATATGGTGACCTAAAATTAGTCTAGTACTCTCCTGAAACATTGTTTAAGTGAATTATTGAAAGTTAGGTTTAGCTTAGGTCATAGGTTTTCTGTAATTAATCATGATGTCCTCTCAGTTTAGATGAGATTGATTATAACCTGCAACATATTTAAAATTTGAATAGGTTGTATGAACAGATGACATATAAAACATTAAAATGACGCATCGTCGTTGGGACTCGATTACTTCTAGCCTCAGAATAAGATAGTTTCCTAAATTTTATTTTAATGTCCGTCTGGTACATTAATTGAACGTATTTTTATTTTCTCACTGAATTAAATACATTCGACGGTATATATTAATTTGAAATATCGTGTCACGTCACAGCGTGCCACATTTTGTACCACGTTATGGCGTAACGACCTCCCAATCCTAAACTTAGCGCCATTTTATCTAAGTATTGCAATTTAATACGAAAAAATAAAAAATACGTGTCTAATATTTTTTCATTATCTAACTGACGGACTAATTAGATTTTAATTTTGATACCCTGGAAAGTACCCAATTATAATTCAATTCAAATATTATTATATTAATAATTCAACTTAGCCTCATAATTCAATTTCGGCATACGGTAAAATATGTATAAATAATTAATTTTTTATCGCTTCCTCATTTACTTTGCACCACAGCCAGCCCTAACTCCTACAGTTCCGAGATGAAGTTGATAAATGACACGAAGGTAATCCAGCTAGTAATCTCCGCCGGTGCGTCCCGTAATTTTTCACCTTTTTCTATCTTTTAATCCTAAACCGATCGCGCAATGGATGACGTGCCGTGCGTAATGAACGCGGCGTGGAGGTGACTGCGCAATGAAGAGGGTTGCCTGATGCATACCGGCACGTTAAACCTGCTTGCTGAACCTTGTTTATTATAGGTTAAATTATTTATATTCTAATGTATTCTAAACAAGTATATTTAATGTTGATTTTGTAGTGGTTATTTGATTGAGTTCATTTCAACTACATAAGGTAAACGCTATTTTAATTAGTCATTTGATCTTGTTTATTATAGCACTTGTGTGTTTTAATTTCTATAGAACTTCTGACCGCCTTCTCACCTGCTTAATTTTGGCGTGATAATAAATTGAATAACGTTAATAATAAGTATTAAATACATTAATGTCGAGTATTTTTCTTTTTGAGTAGAATTGGATCTAGTAAATGAATTTTGTATGTCGTTTTACATTTCTGCTTACACCACAAATAAAATATAAATATTAAGTACAAATTACCTAAACGTGACCGCGCTGGGACATAAATTAACGTTCAACACCTTTACACCATATTAAAACTATGTTCTACAAATAAACATTACAACGATATCGTCGTTATATAGTTAATTTTAATGTAAACCTGTCTAGACGTGGTTCGAATGTAAACCAATGAACATTAATTAAAATTCATGATCACAATAATAAATGTTTCGATAGGTAACCTCGAAACGTCTGATCGAAAATAATTGCCTTTTGTAAAATATCAGGCGTTTGCACTTTCCCTTGATATATTTATTATCCACAGATAATGAAATTCATGTATTCTTTCACTTTTTTAAAATAAATCATTCGATTAAAAAAGGTAATAAACCTCTTTTGACGTCACACAAACCTGGCAGTTACAAAATGCCATTATAAGAAAAATAGGATTAGTTCCAGTTTTATCCGCTATCGATAAGTCGGCGTTGTAATCGCGAATGAACGATTACGCAATGTTTTGTCGTTCCATAACACAGAGTGACTTGTAACATAACCAAACATTTTGTTTTTTTATTGTTGGTGTCTCAAAATACCGTTCAGTTAAAAGTTGTTTACTGTTTAAAAGTTTTCTTTACAAATCTAATTAATTGTACGTTGTGGTGTTGTGATTTTTCGTATGGTTTAGATAAAGACAATGATTTGAAGTTTGTTGTTGTTAATAACATGTGTATTTTAACTGCAATACTCCGAAACTACTACAGAATGTATTTCCCAGGTAACGTCTCAATGAGGACAGGAGATTGAATTTATTAAACTTTCGATTCAATTTTAACTTTTCACGATTTTCAAATCAATTTGTTTGTTAAGTTATTCCGGTACGGAAATCGAATTTGCCAGTGACGATTCGATGTTTCCATTTAACATAATTATTTTGTCGTTTCAAATAAATAAATGAACATAATAATTTGTTAATTACCCTCCGTTTTTAAAGTTTTAAATACCCGATACTTAAACTAAAAAATAATAAATAGTAATTTCATTGGTTCTTATATAAAAGCCGGTACGTACTTTAAATTTGACACAATACCTATAAGACAGAAAAAAAAACAAAAATAATGAAATTATTTCACCCAATAGTAGTAATAGTAGGCCTATTTACAGCATATTCGATAATGCAAGCGATGAGTACTCAACCGTCTTTGTTAATAGGCCTGGCTGGTGGGTACCAGGGGGCTAGAAGATACAAGGAGCCATTACTTAGTTCGTTAGAAGAAGATGAATCAAGCGACAGTGTGGTTGAAGCTGAGCCCGGCTTTGTACGTTTGGAGATAATGAATAATGCCGCGAGAATGCATCCGTGAGGATTTTGATTAAAGGACAAGGTATGTAGCAACTTTTTCTTTTTTGGTTTTTTGTGTGTGTTACAGTCTACTAGAATCAAAAACCGCAATGTCCGTATCTATGTTTTTTTCACAATACCTCTATTTTGAATTATTGATCTTTAGTACATTCAGTGGTTTGTGTACTATAACAAAAATAAAGTTAATATATCATGTGATGGTCCCATATTAATGGAATTACGTAGATTCGTCACAGTAACAAGAAAATAGAATAAATAATCTGGACTTTGCTGTTTTTGAAATAAACCACTGGACTTTGCTGTTTTTGTTGCACGCGTCTGATGGACATTGCTTATTTTGAAACATACCTATTTTTATGTACTACGCCTGCTTAGTATTGATACTTTGAATAGCAAAGACTATAATCCTTAAATCATTTTATAAGTTGAAGTCCTCCGGCCACGTCTGTCTGTTTGTCCGTCGGAATGAACTCATGACATGCCATTTGCCGACATTTAACAGTGTATCTTTTACGGCGGTTATCCAGTCAAATACTGAACACTGTGTAAGTAATCATTAAGCAACCAAAATAGTTATATATTACATAGGTACTCACAAGGATCATAACGAGAGGTTATGTTTTATTTAAAATCAATTTTCATTGTTTTTATAGTACTTACAGAATTTGAAAATTTAAAATATTATTTAAAGTACTAAAATCTGACGCGCATGAGATTAGGACATGTTTGTCCCCGAGCCCATCTCGCCAGACTAAATATTGTTGACGACCCTGTTTTTGAGTGTGGCACATTATATGCGAATAAATTATGCGTGCCATATAATTAACCTTTTGTATAAGTGCAAATTGGCATGTTATGTACATAAATGCCAATAAGTTAAATGAAATTAAGGGTTGGGCCTAGCACTTTAACACAAGTTGTCTTGGCAACTTAGTAAGGGTGCTGGTGTCACCATAGTATTGTATATTTACCTTAAACTGTATGTACTATCGTGTATTTAAAAGTGTAAAATGTAAAACTTAATGCAAAATAAATTATTATAATATGGGTGATCGAAATCATTTCAAAATTAGCGGTACTTTTATTTAAAAATTAAAAAAAGATATTACGTACTTAAAGTTTAATGAATTAAAAAAAAAATATAAAGATATCAAACTAAATTATTAATGACGGTAGCTCCTCTTGGACTTGGCACATCGATTCTTCGTCGTCCCCGTCGTCACCAACATTATGATGTATTGGAATATCGTGTGGCAGTACTCGAGCAAAATATCCTAAGGTATCTAAACTGCGCCAATCATCGCCGTAATGAGTTTTAAGTAATTGGTCGACGTCTCTCAGTTTTAATTGTTTTATTGACACTCCTTGTGTCATTATATTCGGTGCAATCATAGCAGAGGTTTTATTTTTTTTACAAATACTTTTATACTGTCCTAAGTCTTGTCGATAATGCAATTCACCTCGAAGGCCCACCATACCACTACATTTGCTGCTTCTTTTTAAATAAAATCTTTTACATTTAGCAAAAGGTACATGCCACTTACCAACGTTCAAAAATATATCTTTTAAAGTGCTTTTCCAGTCGAAGATTTGACATGTTGTTGCTACGTTAATAACCGTTGCATGTTGACTTACTACATCTATGTATTCACTAGGATTTATTATATTTTCCATTTTTCGCAGTTGCTTCTCAATGTGGGCAAAAACTCGGTCAGCGGGAAGAAATGAGTGACCCACTACGGGGAACACTATCTCTATAATTTTAATTTGCGTTGGTGCGTGATGGACTAACCATTTAGAAAGCATAGCTATTAATGTAGAGTTTTTATTCTGTCCTGCGCATCCATCCGCCATAATCCGAAGTAAATTACATTCAGGTGTAAATTCAGTATTACAAAGTCGATGAAAAACTGCAGATGAAATAAGATTTGAATCCTTGGCGTATTCATCTTCGGTCCAGCAGTAACTGAATATATTTTGTTTCGTCAATGACGATTTTGAACTGCCTTCTACAATCGTGAAATTAAAAAAATAAAGTTGTCTCGAGTAATAGGTACTCTGATCAGGAATTTTAGGAAGTACCATATTTTTTTGGCAGTCAAAGGATATTATTTTTATTGAAGGGTCTTCTATTTTCAACATATCAAAAAATGCCTTTGCACGTCTCTTGTGAACTGTTTTTTCAATCATCAACCGACTTTTATCAGGCTCTTTGGCGACTTTTATTTTTTCCGTCAACTGCAAACAAGTTGAACATACATCAACACGTGGTGACCCAAATCCTAAATTGAAACATGTGTTAAATATGTTTCGGAAATATAAGGCCTTTACTTTGAGAGGTTCAGGTGTCTGGTCATTATACATTTTGGCCATTTTATTTATGCTCAATTCCGACGACAAATACATTCGCCTAGAACTGCCTCTGCAGTAATGAGCTTCATTGCATTTAAATTTCTTTATGAATGAAATTACATTTTGTTTTTTATCTTTGTATTTATGTGACTTATGGTCACCACCACGGTTTTCCTTTGGGCATTTGCCTTCTAAATAATACTTCTTTACCACATTTTCTATCCGATACCTTTTGATGTGCAATATTTGTAAAAAAGCTTTTTGGCAAACAAATATCATCTTTTTTTGAGATTTACAGTAAATCCTGTACATTCTTTGCATAGCTCTAGAATTGTAACGCTTAGTATTAGACCGAGGACGACGACGTTTTGTTTGCACAGCTATAACATGTTTTAATATGAACATATCTTGTTTTACTTTGTCGTTTACGGCGTAAAAAGATTCATGAAAAGATTGTAAGTCATTCATACTAATTTCAGAGCACTGCAGCTTTTTGTCTCTATGTGAACATGTTGGCTTAACAGGTAAGTCTTTTGGAGCGTATCTGAAACAACAAAATTTCAGATCTGTACTCAGTTACGTACTTAAATACGTCATATTTAAGTACGTTTAGTAAAGTGTGATAGGCATTTTTTGTATGAAATTAAAACATATTTGTGTATAAAAAAAATTAAATAATGAACTTTGGCCAAAAAATATAGTAGACTTTGATTTTATTCGCAAAGATATTTTAATAGTCTATAAATAAAATACTTGAACTCTATTAAGAAAAAAAATGCAAATTTTATGTTAATGGGGTGAAAATTTCATTTTTGTAAATAAATTGTACAATAAACGACGTTAAAAAGTCATTATAAACAAAGTTTGAAAACTTAAAAAAAAACAACGTATCAAAACTATCTGATTGTGGTTTACTCACCGGTCATTTTTGGTCTTGTTTTTTTGCCAGTTTGCTCTATTAACTCGGCGTTTTCGAGCACATTTATTGTCCACCTCTTGGGGATAACATTCCATAGTTCACTATGTGTAAAAATTATGGCTTACAAATCTGTTTTAACACGTCAAAAACGAAGTAAACGAGAGCACTCGTAACAGCAAATTCCATAATCCGCCATACTGCTTACGCGCCTGTGATTGGTTGTGATGGACAATGCTTGTTCGGATACATAAACAAGTGGACAATGCTGTTTTTGTAGCAAACATTGATTTTTGAATGTAAATTTCTATAAGACATTGCGGTTTTAGTTTCATATTGAATAAATAAAAGTTTTATTTTTTCACTGGAGATTTATATGCCATAGACAACTCAATTTGAGTTTTTTATGGACATTGCGGTTTTTGATTCTAGTAGACTCTTTGATGTCATCATTTATATTTACAATGGATTATAATCCTCGAAGTTGAGTTCTCGTTTCTCACCTTCCTCTAATTGTGTTACATATATAAAACCTTCCTTGTTGTTCGACGGATCGATAGAATGACGGTCGAATAAGGGGCCTTAGGTTTAATAGCCGGTTTGAGAAAAGTGTTACCGCGATTATCTCGGTTCTCCAATTTCAGTATCTAACGACACGTTACCAGGAGTTACACTTGGCAACTAATAAATCGCTCAAAATAAATGTTACAATTACCATAAAATATTATTCTTCATAATAATATCTGTTCATACCCGTTAAACCTTAGTACGTAACAATTAAAGTTACACGTGGCTCATCTAATTTCGAAGGTTCGTCATAAATATTCATACAAATTCAGAGGTTACCTTGAAAGAATCCAACCATTCGTAGCTGACATACAAAGTTGGCATCGAGTAGCAGACAGTTTTAAAATATGCACGTCTCGCGCCTCCAGGGATTCAACGCAATATTTTTTGATTTTCCAGCTAAGAATTTTTATATTAGAACAGGGAGATAGATGCAGGGTTTAAAAATACTTTGTTACTTAAAAGTGCTTTGAGTACAGACTTTCTATTTTCGTCTAGTATGTTTTTCTATTGTATTTGTTAATACCTAGTAGTAAACTTTACGCCTGCGGTTTCGCTCGAATGGAATTTATGAATGTTACATAGAAAGTTTTTCTGTTACACTCCTGTATCCCTCGTGTAGATGACTGAAATGAAACCCTTCTCTCCAATTAAAACACAATACAGCATTATATTAATTACAGCTTTCAACTGAAAAACATTAAACACTGGTTACACTGCTGAAGATCAACTTGTACAAATAAAGAAACTTACTTTTACTTCTAAGAACTTTGAAATGGAAAACTTAGACTTTGGCAATGCTTAGAGATGTAGGTTCGCTGCGCATTTTTTATCGCTTATACCACGGGGAGTGCACGACAGCATATCCACCATATAGATGTTCGGCAGGCCATAACTGTGCGCTTCTCTCGTAGCTTTCTACCTTGCACAGCAAAACTTCGATGATCTAACGAACTTGAATGATCTTTCGTCGGCGGTATTTCCGAACCGATACGACATTCAAACCTTCAAAAAAAGAGCGTATTCCTTTTTAAAATGCTGGCAACGCACCTGTGACTCCTCTGATGTTGCAGGTGTCCATGGGCAGCGCCGATCAATTACTATCAGGTGATCCGTCTGCTCGTTTGCCTCCAATTCCGTAGAAAATACTTTACCAAGAAGATTATTTAACAGTCGATATTGAACAACAAAATGCAATATCTAATTAAAATAATCATCGTGAGATCAATTTTCTGTTGTAGACCAACATGACCTTGTGTGTGGCTATTGTCACATGACATTTTCCAGCTTATACTGGCATAATGTAGATAGATTGGTTCAAGTCTGTACTCAACAGAAATTATTTTCATATTACTTATGAATATTTCGTAGATTTGCAAATATGGTTCTTTGTGTGTCATGATATTAGAAATTTTGGAATCTAGACAGATGTTATTGGATATTAGCGATATTTTATGTTGAGTATCAATATATCGAGATATTGAATGCTATGGAGGTGCTGAGTCGTGACGGGACATTATTGCTTTCTCATAAAATGTGTCTCTGTTAACATTTCTTTGAATACTAATATTATAGGGACTTGTCGCTCTGCAAGTTTACATGCTTCAATGAACGTATTTGTAACTTGTTTCATAATATGAGTATTATTTTCATTTTGTTTGGTTTGATTTTGGGTTTTTCTTAGGTATATAAATACTCGTTATGGCTAATGGAATAATATTTCTTATTCCAAGAAATGAGTACCTAGTGTGTTGAACTTCTTAAAATGAGTATTATATATTTTAATAATTAAATTGTTCTGTTTCAGGCTCATAACTTGCAAAAGCAATGACTGAGGTGCTGAAGACTATGGAGAAGATGTCCAAAACAATTTAGAAATGGAAAATGATTGGCTGACTGACTAGTTTTCCACTAGGACTGACTCGGTCGATGAATTATATGCAATATTGACGATCTAAGGAGACTCTTGGAGAAAGAAATGAATTGATCTATATTATATTTTGAGTTTGAGTTTGAGTTTGAGTTTGAATTGATCTATAATTATTATTAAAAAAAAATCTTATACAGAAGTAGGATCAAGCATCAAGTAGGTGTAACAAAAAAGACAGTTTTGCTTTTAGAAATACTCTTATTATTATTTACTGTAAAATCACTTTGACTTTGATCTTCACGTAGAAGCCCGAAATAGAATCATAGTTAGACATATAATACTTTTTTTTACTTTTCCGAAATTTAAAATTTGTGACAGTGAGTCCCAGGGACATTGAGATACCTACCTATAGCTTAAACAGCTTTAGGGATACAGTATAGCCATTTAAAATAAATTTGATTAGGTATTTAGGGTCAACGGCAAATCTGCAGTTTTCAGAGCTGAACAGACTTTTTTCTTCTTAAAACATATCGATTTAATGTAATTATCGAACTTAATGCACGTTTTTCTTGCAATTGCTTTTCTCAAAATCAACTTTTTTTTCAACTAACTGTATGTTTCTTTCATCATTATCATTAACTCAAACACAACTAAAAACGAAGAAAATCAAAATCTAGGTAATTTATTTTAAGCTATAGACGTCTTACCCCGCGGTTTCACCCCGTTATCAAAAAAAAGATACTCTATAATAATACTATGTGATCTGTGATCTTCATAAAATTAAATTGATATGAGACAATAATAAAATGACTTATAAATAATAAATAAATCATATATATCTTTAAACATAACATAAACATCATTAATAAGTGTTAAAAATTTATCACCCTATTCTTCCGAATGTGGCGCCTCCTGTCCACGTTGCGTTATTTGACAAACAAGTGAAACAAGTGAATTTATTTCTGCAAATAGGCCACAAGCTACAAGGCAGCACTTTTACACGTCAATTTTATCAAGCGAACGATGAGGCCGACATTTCCTAACTGACTTCTCTGAGAAGAAATGCTGAAACAAACTCAGACAAACGCATGCATTCGTCAAAAATGATAGGCGGATTTATTGTTGCAGTTTTGTTTATGATTTTCATTGTTTCTAAGCCTACAAATGCTACCCGAGCGTACGGCGCGTCGCGTTCCGCGCGCGCCTCAAAGAGCCACCAGACCACCACAGATGGGGCCCAATAGGGCTGTTGCCGATTCAGAGTCGCGGAGAACCTAACGGGTAACCGGGGCTCCGGCTCGACGTGCAGGAGAAGGAACGTGGTGGTTTTTAGTCAGTAAGAGTCTGACACTCCCTTCTGCCTCACCCAGGCGGGAGCAGTAATTCGATGATTTTCCCCCCTTAAAAAAAAGCCTACAAATGCTTAGATGTAAGCATTTGTCATTTGTAGGCCGTCTATTGTTTGTGAAGAATATTTATGCATTCGTCAAATGACGCCACTTGGACCCTTTCAGAATTTCAAAATCAGGATCCAAAAGAATAACGAATGACATACGGAATGAACCTGAAACACGAAATAAAAATATTTAACTGTTCTACAAATGTACGTACGGCAGTGAAACGTGTATGTTATATCCGAGGTAGCCCTCAGATACCAGGAACATCATACAATCGTCATTCATCGAGATTGCGCAACACGAATTGATCGATTTATAAAAACCGTTCGCCGACTTCTCATGTCGCCTTTCGTCGCCTAACATCGGGACGTTAGGACACTAGTTTTAAGTACTTAGTTTTAATATATCATTGTAACCTTCAATAAACTACTTGCTTATTAATTGGTTGCGTTATTTGGATCTCCTCCGCTGCCCACATCGTAATTTGTATGTAATCTCGTTTTGGTATGAAAGCAATTTCAAACAAACCACCTTTGGGTGAAAATGAATTGCACTAGAATAAGATACCTAGTAGTTTGCGCTGTGAACTAAAGCAAATGTGGACTGATTAAACAAGTGAATGCTTGAATCTTTTGACAGATATTACATAGGATTACACGATTATTCTAGAACGTAAGCAGAGGTACACATAACGCAGGTAATTCTTAAAATCACATTACATAACATCGAGCCTTTTATACCCGAAGTGTAGGCAAAAGTCCATATTACGGCCCTTAATGCCACAGAACATTATTCTGTCAAAACACGAAAGTACCTAGGTACATACATTAATGTGAACTATCTAGAATCCTGTCTTTGCTCTTCTATTCAGATTTATAAGTACAACGCGCATAATTTAAACTTCATAACTTTCAACTGTGGGGAGTAATTCCAAACTAATTTGCATACAATTTTATAGACGCGTACCTATAAATTTACTTAGAAACGTGTGCTAATTGAATCTTGACGTTTTAGTGACAATTATTGGTTTAAAAACTGGATTTGTTTACATAAGATCACGCCTTAGGGTAGGCAGAGGTGCACATTATGTCACTGTACAATGTAACACCCACTTTTCACTATTTATGTTATGAGTTCCATGTAAAAGGGGGTGAGCCTATTGCCATATACCGGAGCACAATTCCAGACTCCGTGCTACTACTGATAATTTCTTAAAAACCCAGTAATACTTTGCCCGACCCGGGAACCGAACCCGAAACCCCTTGCCCGGCAGTCGCACTTGCGACCACTCGGCCAACGAGAATTGCTTTATAAAAAGCACATTTAACATATAAGACACAATAGGAAACACATTGAGTCTCGCGTATATCCACGCTCCAGCAGACTACAGGTCACGTACCATATACCCTATCTTTGTTGTCTAAGCAACAAGTATTTCTAAAAAAGTGGTTCTTGTTTGTGGTGCTTGAGTTCTTGACCCACAATTTCCATCTGCGACCAACCACCAAAAACTGACTAATTAGTTTTAGCCACAGCTTGTCATACACGATACAAACTTTAATCATTTTCGATCAAAACTGTATCATCATCTTGTTTACCGAGTATCACCTACAAAAATGAATATTGTACTGTATCACACAAAATGACCTCAAAATATTCCGCATCCTCGGGGATTGTACTTAATTAGAAATACAGCACAATGAAAACCACTATTGTTGTTTAATTAACATAATTTTAAAATTCAAATAAGAAACGCAGATCCTTTGTGAACCGAAAACAGATAATTTAAAAGCACAACAAAGCGAATGAATGTATATTAGAGTTGTATTTTAGAAACCACTTCTAAAATAGGTACACGTAAGTACCTTGCATCAATAGATTACAGTACCTGGCGATATAATATTGTACACCGACTTTTGCAAAGGGACAATCAACCAAGTCTCCTCGTATGCTACTCATGATTACGAACCGTTTAAACTGGTTGAACAGTCCTGTCTTATTATAAAAAAAAATATTAAGGAAATAAACTTTTGTACATACATACACAACCTTACTCCTATCTCTCATGTCGCGGAGAACCTAACGGGTTGCCGGGGCTCCGGCTCGACGTGCAGGAGAAGGAACGGGGTGGTTTTTAGTCAGTAAGAGTCTGACACTCCCTCCCGCTTCGCCCAGGCGGGAGCAGTAATTCAATGATTTCCCCCCTTAAAAAAACTCTTATCTCTCATGTGGGTAGGCAGAAACTATGGAACGCCAATTGCTACGCTTCTTAATTTTTTGGTTCATCAACAGTCATCAGTCTTTTCATGGATGCTCGTCGGTTAGGGTAGATACTTTTAATTTGGCCCTTCTTTAATATATCGTCAATCTGGTCGATAATTACTTGTACGTCTTGGGCGCCCTCTACCGACGGCCCCATTCATAAACGATCTGTATACGTATTTCATTACCGTACTTCTACCCATCCTTTCTAAATGATTCTTTACTAAAGTCGATGTGCAATATTTATCGCCAGTTACTGTACAAAGGCGGTTCGCATTTCCGCGTGTGGCTGCCCTTACACCGTCCTCAATAACTACGTTAGAGAAGTATCTATTAGAACTAGTGGTAAGACTCGATAATCCAGCGAGTAGAAGAGCTACGGTGTAAAACAAATTTGAGCGATTGTTGTGCAACTGTTGCTTGGAAGGTGTTGTTGGTTAATTTTTGGTTATGAATTTTAAATAAAATATTGTAAGATTTACATTTTACATATATATTTTTATTTTTATTTTATTTTATTTGGAAAAAAAAAACAATATTACATTATATATAATATCCATTAGTAAAGTACATAAAACCAAATTAATGTAATATCCACAACATTTTCCACATATTACCTTTTGGGACATAAGCACATTTGGGACATTTGATGAGGTCAAATAACAATATTTACTATCTATATTTGAAGAAACATGCAAAACAATCAGTTATAATAAGATACAAGATCCAAACTCCTCAGCACATCAATGACTTTACCTTTAAAATTGTTTCTATTATATATAACATAAATAAATCAATGCCCATGGAGATTTCATTATAGATCTTTGCAAGACGCTAGAGGGGAGCACGTTTACCCGCGTTTGTCCGGTGTGATGCCTGATCAAACAATCGGTAATCGCGCACCTCGTGACGGTGGATTGATCTAGGAACCACAAGTTTAATATTATTATTAAGGTCCATACAATTAAGCTTGTTATGGTAAAGGTCGTGAAGTGTCATTATTTGCAGAAGCATTTGTCTCTTCTCCAGTGACAGCAAATTATACCGGGTTAAAAGGTCTTTGTAGTATAAACGACCTACTACCTACTATATTTACACAATGTTTGTTGACAAAAACAATAACCTTCAAAGTCCTTTTTAGAAATGTGGTAGGTGGGAAGTACATTAAAAATACTTCGAAATTCAACAGTACAACTGCAAATAACGTAAAATACTTTATATCTTTATTCAAAACTTTCAAACAACAAAGAGTTGGTTGCTTCTTATATTTTAACGCACGTCATAAAGTGTAACGGAGTATAAAGGATGAAATAAGACGTTGCACAGACAATGAACATGCGACCAGACGCAATCCAAACTAAATTGCTGTTTGTTGCAATATTCCTTGTATTGCTATTGGACTTTTGACCTTTGTACAATAAACACTCAATCATAAAAGATCAAGAAAAAGATTGTTCTTTAAAAATATACAATTGCTTGTGCCATTT